CCCCACAGGAAAGAAATTCAGGAGCAAGCCACAACTATCACGATACCTAGGCAACGCGGTGGACCTGGGATGCTTCGACTTCCGCACAGGCAAAATGATGCCAAGCAAGCTTCAGAAAAACAAGCAGCGGCTGCGCAACGAGAATTTCAATCTTTTCAAGGTATACTGCTGAACTGTTATCTCAGTATCGTTACATTGGACACAGAGGCCTGCCTTCTTGTTGAGTGCTGCATATGTAAAAAAACACTCTTGCATATGGCAGTGTGTGGCTCAGTGGGCTTAGCCCCTGTGCCCGTAATCAGAAGTTTGCCGGTTCAATTCCTCATTAATGCTTAGCAGTCTTGCCTTTACAGGTACGTTTTTAGCAAACTCTAGGTTTGGTTTTATGGGAAAAATATTTCAGTTACGATTGTTGCAACTTTTATTTTTGCAGTTTAAGACACTAGACTCAGGCATTATTTCTAGATGCAAGCATTTATTATGCCTAATAGACTATGACCATAACAAACTACTCTGGCTGGTATTTCTACCTCACAGTGGTCCCTGTATATAAACTGCTGTGCGCAGACATGGGAAACAACATGATCGGTGTCGTGTATTTGCACGACATTATATTAAGAAAAGACGCACACAGTTGCGGCAGGTGAACTCGTGAACCATTATTCACGCTTTTTACTTGTTACAACTTAAAAGTATCCATGCGCATGGCAGATCACCAATAAGGATAAACCAATGACTACCGGAGTGAATCCACTTAAAGAAACAGGTCCATATACTACAATCGGTTGCATTGTTCACTCTGGGAGCACTGAGGTTGCAACTGAGCTAATTAGTTGGTATGTCAGGTGGTTAAAAAAACAATGCAGAGTCTGAGACTGACCACATTTTAAAGCATTTTCAATTCTATATTTTAAAGAATAGATATTTTCTATATATTAACATGAATGCAGTATGTTCTTGAGATTGGGCTCTGTCTGGATGGTGATCCAGATCTTGGTGCTTAGCTTGACCTGTAATCCTCCGGAATTGAACATTCTTAGTTTGGTACAGGAGGAGCACTAGGTCTCCCAAGGTGTCTCGGGTGATAGTTTGAATCAGTACTTGTATTTTTAAAGATTTTATGAGTATCATATAAATGTTTTTTGGATGTGGGCCTATTTTTAAAAGGTTGTCCGTTCTCATATATGGCATAGGGGTAAAATAAAACATTTATTGAGGGCTTATGCGTTTGAACATTGTTCATTTGCAGTGATTCCTGTAGCACTCCTACAGGAATTGTTCAAGTGGGTTTTGCACATGTTTTATAAACGTCCTTTAAACTGTGCAATGTATGTGGAAACAATGTTTCCTGAAGTCACTGATTTTGCCAGACAAGCTTCTACTATATTGCTAATGTTTGTGTCATGAGGCTGACTAAATTTATCTTAAATGCATTGTGATGTGAATAGTGTTCAGGCTGATTTGCTTGAAAATTATATAACATTTCATGTTTATGAACAGTCACCCCTCCAAATTTGCCAATTTGGTAATTGTGATTATATGAAGAACACCAAAATTATTTGGAACACATAAAATCATATATATAAGTATTACTGTTATTTAACATTTGTTAGTGTAAGTACTATTATTTCTTACACGTGATTAGTAGTAGTGTTGTTAATAATAACTGTACTACTACTAATAATAATAATAATTATTATTATTATTATTATTATTATTATTAATTAATAAGTCTTCAGTTGAAATTTAAAGACTGAGACTGATTTTGCATCCCGAACATGAGCTGGGAAACTTTATAATAATACGACCACCCTAACCCAACTTTAATAGTGATTAAAGTGATCAGTTCTTTTGGTATTTATGTATTTTTTTTTTTATTACTGGCGTGGGATTATCAAAAACCAATACTTAAATGAATGAGCACTAAAATATTTAACGTAAGCACGACTGTATTATGGGTTTTACATCTTTTTTGGGGCTACAGCAACTCCGCTGCTGTGAGCGTTACTGACTGTCCCATCGTTTTCTTGATGGCAGTATGCTAATGCGATGGCCCATTAACAGAAATAAAAGGTGTGATACGCAGGAGTATGTGCTGCTGGCGGTTAAAGGAGATCCCGACAGTTCTAGTGTTAAAGAAATTAGCTACAGTAACAACACGTGAAGTGTCATTAGGCATAGCTGAAATGTATATTTGGATGTCATCAGGATAGGAATCATAATATTATGTTTTCTCATTATGTTACCTGCATGTAGAGAGAACAATATAGGACCAAGAGCTCATCCCTGTGGTACTCCGTATTTGACCGGTGACACTGATGAAGGGGTGCAGATATTGGACACTTGCACATCTTGACATAAATTAGTCAAATAGGATTTGAACCACCACCATTCCATGCAGCCCAACATCAAATTCAAGTCTATGTGATAAAGTAGAATGGTCAATGTCAAAAGCTGCACGCTAGTCCTGAAGCATGAGCACAGTTGCACTGTCAACTAGGGATGGGCTGATCCACATTTTATCTGTTCCAATCCGATCTGTTACACAACCGCCAATAACAATACAGATTCTGATACAAAAGCTCTTTTACTGTAGCATTATCATTAGAGGTGCACCGATCCAATTGTATCAGTGCCGACACGATCCCGATACCTGAACAGAGGACATCTGCGGATATGAGTACTGATCTGATACCAAAGCTCCTTATTTAAACTGGCAAATAAAAATGGAAAAAAAAAAATATACCAAAAAAGCTTTGTTAATTAGGCTACTAGAATCATACATAACATATCGTTCCACCTCATTTGTCCATCTTGTGTTAAGTGTTTTGAGGCATTTGCAGTTCAATTTGTATATCTTCCAAGAGAGTATACTGTATGCAAGTGGCGAAAGCTTAGAATGGCCCACGATTTTTCTCCCACTGGCTACAGCGTCGCTTTACACTTTGTTGCGACAGCAGCCCTTCGTGTATCACAAGCTGTAGCGAGTGTGCAGAACAGCCCAAGCCAGCGACTCCCAAATCATCTATTCATTTTTTTATATTATTTGTGTTGTCGCCCAATTGCATGCACTTGGTTTAGTGGGTTATTCCACTAAACACTATTCCCACCTCTCAAAACTTTGTCACAGAGATTGCAAATCACTGTGCTACTAGTTGTTTCAAGCATAACATACTTCCAGATCATCAACCTTTTATCTGGTGTTCTTGCGCTCCTCCTAACTCAAAGGGTATGCACATGACGTCACAGCAGGCAGTGAATGTTAGAAAAAACTGAGTGGCAGCATTAGCGTTCAGCTTGAATGCTGCAAAAAACACATCTAAAATGGGGGAAAAACCTGTTATGCGATTGTGCAAATTTAACAAGAAATAGAAGCTATCTTTTTTCCCAACAATATGTTTATTTCTGAAATAGAAGCTATCTTATTACAGACTGCTGAGGACTAAATAAATAAGTATCGGACATGAATCTGTCACATGCGGCTGATACCTGATCCATCTGATAGATATGGATTGGTGCCGATACTGCACCTCTGCCATAGATCAAAGTGATCCCTTTGCCGCCATGTTTGTTAAATGGCCAGTCGCATCATGGGCGACTTCCTTGCTGAATGCCTTGCTCGGGAAGAGTTAGCGATCATGCTAGATGCGTGATGTGGCTGAGTGCAACTGAACTGTGCCCGGACCCACCTCTGAAAGCGAGCCCAGATATGATTCAGCGTACCATGCCCAGGCACGGCAGAGAGCAATCACACTAGTCAAATGAACTGGACTTTGGGGGTCAAACATGCTTGAGCATGGTACGGATCGCCTAGAGTGAGTACACCCTAAATTAGTCAGGTACATCGCCTGAAGACAGATACATTGATTATGCCAGGTATAGGTCTTGTCAGAACTCCCTGGGATTCTTTATGAAGTTGAGTGGGAATTGGGTCCTTTGAACAGGCAGTTGATTTTGCTTTAGTTATTAGTGTTTAGTTTGCTTTAGTTATTTTGCTTTAGTTATTACTCCTGTTCATTGACTAACTCAAATACATTATTGGCATGTGCACATTGTTTGCATCAGTTATTTGTGAGCCATTTAAACATTTTTGTAGTTTTATTGTTAAAGAAGAAAATGTTCACTACCAATATTACTTGGTAGCACAAGTTCATCTTTATTTGTTAGGTAAGCTATTGTCTTAAAAAAGGTAGCGAAGGTTATTTCTATTGTGATCGATAAGGGGACAGTAATAGACTGAACAAGCACAATAAAGGACATGCTTGTATTGTTGTGGGCTGTCAGACGGTGCCAACTTGAACATCTCTAACCCCGTGGATTTCCATTTGCGCGCTAATCTGTGGCACGCCTTTAAGAATGTGTGTGATCATTGAACAGTCAAAACCACCAGACTCCTTTATTTTTCAAAGGAGCTGTTTCATCCAAAACCTGACTAACCACTGTATTAAAGTAGTTTGATTTTGTTGACATTTTGTACTAGAGGTGAAGTTCACATTACTTCTTGCATTAATTAATTGTAGCCAATTTAGGTGACGTGTAATAATAATCGCCATAGTCAAAGATGTTGGCTGAATCACGAAAGTGATTAGAAAATAGTCAGAGAGGGAATTATTCAATGGACAGTCAGATGCATGATGAACATGAACTCTGTGAGCAATAATCAACTATAGTGTATGATTGTGCACACGCCTTGGTCCCGTTACATGCAGGTGACATCCACCAGAGTCCGGGAGGGACAGGAAACTTTTGCCGAAAGCATCAGTCTCTGTGTCCGCATGCATATTGCAAGTGGCAAGTATTAGAATATTCCCCAAGTTAATAACTGAGTCAGTGAGAAATTCCCCAAATTCAGTTAGGTGGGCTGTACACTATAAGCATGTACATGGGTGGGTCTGATGTCATTTGAGATATCAATGGGACTGAATGGCTTTCTTCCTGTGCTGATTGAACGGGAGAACAAGCAAACTCCACCCACATGGAGCCAGAGAGGCACAGTGCTAACCATTGCACCACTACACCACCTGTGTGCAAGGAAGTAATTTCCCGTTGGAACTGAAGAGGGTAATCTGAAATTATTTCCCCCTCTTGTACTTCCAGATGAGTTTATCTTATAATACACCATCCATTTGCTTTTGGTGGAGATGCTAACACGCTTCCCTGATGTTTGTAGTAGTGTCAGTCCGGTGCTGCATTTTCCTCCTACAGTCCCAAAGCATGCTTAGGTCAATTGGTGTCTGTAAATTGCCTATAATGTTTTGTGTGAGATTTAAAATGCCTTTTCATAATACGAAACTGATTATTATTAAATATTTTTTCTTACATGTATAAATATCCTAAATCTGGCTATTTGAAGCAGAACAAATATTTTTAAACAAAACTACATTTTTAAATCCTGGTTCACTGGTTCTGCTGGCAGAAGGCTACACTGAGCAGCAGGTTGCTTCCAGGTTCAAAATTTCTAAGCCAGCAGTGCACAAGAATAAGGTGAAGCAGGAGACACTGGGAACAACCAGAAACCAGTCAGATAAAGGGTGGAAGTGACGTTCTAATGCCAGAGGTGACTGTTAACTTATACGACAGTTTCTCATGAATCAGAGGATGACATCAAGTGACCTTCAAAAGGAATGGGCAACATTAAGTGCAGGTGTGAAGTGCACTGCTAGGACAGTTGATATCAGGCTCCTAGAAGCAGGACTGAAGTCCCATAAAGCAAGGAAGAAGCCCTTCATTAATGAGAAATAGAGAAGAACCAGGCTGTAGTTGTTTGCAAAAAAATATGTATTATTCACAGATGCACACCCATAAGTTGAGTGAAACAAAAAATTGTGCTGTGGTCTCTTAATTTTTTTCACGGCTGCATGTCATTTTACTGCATTTGTTACGTTACAAGCAGTTGATGAAATAATGATTATTTTTTTAAACTGGTAAATTGATTCCTCCACATGATGACAGTACTGGAAATGTCTTTCTATAAGTATAGTATTTCATTGTAGTCTCTAGTCTGTTTTTACTCCTAAATTTAACCATGTTTCTGGTAATTCACATGAAGGCATCGCGTTTATAATTAGTAATTTGCTGATAAACTTGGAAGTACAAAATGTTCCCTTTTCATTGTCATTCCTTTTTCCATTATGCCTCCATGCACCATGGTAAATGCAGTTTGGATTTGATGGGAAATCTTTCTGTAGTGTTTCACGCTGGGAACTTGCTATAGCTACAAAGTATTAGAAAGCTACTTAGGGAGGCATTCCCTGGTATCAGTTGTGGTAAAAATTTGATTTATAGTTGGGAAGGATGTAATGTGACAACATGATGTTGTGTTATAATGACTTGGGCTGTCTTTATTTATTTTTTTGCTCCAACTAAAACGGGATGCCATTTCTGCTGCTGCTTTACTCATAGCGTCTCTCGTTTCTGCCCCATCCAGGGAAAACCTGACTTGAACACTTCCCTTCCAATCAGACAAACAGCGTCTATTTTTAAACAGCCGGTCACCAAAGTAGTCAACCATCCCAGCAACAAAGTGAAGAGCGACCCGCAGAGATCCTCAGAACAGCCCAGACAGGTTTGCTGTGTCTTCATCAAAGGCTTGTCTCTGCTTGTTCTTCATCACAATGACGTGACATTCAATTATTATTTTTACGTTGAATCTTTGTTCTTCAGGAGCAGAAGCTAAATTTATATTGTCATCAGAAAGGGGGATAGATGAATGACTGAATGAATGAATGAATGCATGCCTTTATTGTCATTGCACAAGGTATAAAGAATTTTGCAGACTATCCTCGGTAATGATGTCATAAATTGGAACTGCAGTCTAAGGTCCCATTTAACAGTGGTGGGGAAACACTACGTGAAATACTTTTATAAGTATCAACTCTGGGGTTCAGTTTTATCACTCCATTGTTTTAAGATGTATATGTTTTTATATTACATTATACCTCATTGCATCTTTTAAGAGGAAACCTAAACCAAGATTCTGAAAACGCTAAAGCACAGTTTAAAGACTGCAAAAGTTGATTTTTGTTCAGATGTGGCATGTACAGGGGTTGGACCGTGAAACTGGCCAAAATAGTATTTGTGGTTTACGCCACTATATGTGCAGCCTGGTGGCTAATTTGAATCTACACTGATTGCAGATACTGTACCACCAGTAAGCGCAGAGTGTGAAGGTTAGCTGAGCAATAGCACAGCTGTAAAATATCGCAACATAATGAGTCCCTTCAAACAACATACTGGGAGACATATTAGAGTGCAAAAGAGGAAAAATTGTTAGTGTCTCGCTGGCGCATCTATGACCAGGACAGCAAATCTTTGTGCTGTATTAAGAGCCACAGTATCCAGAGTAATGTCAAACCACCACAAAGGACGGACCATATCCAACAGGAGTAACAGTGAATGCAAGAGGATGTCTGGGTATTAATCTGGATTGTATCCAAAAAACATAAAACCAGAGCTTCCCACTTTGCTACAGAATTAAAGGTGCACCTGGTATAAAACTAGGTGTTTCATTTTCATTGTCCAACCCCTGTATATTTTTGGAGTTATATAAATTATTCTGCTAATTTTATTTGCTATTAACTAGCTGCTGCATGATTAGCATACTGCCTCAGTAAGTAAAAGCCTAAATAAATTGAGATCGATTCTCTCATGCACTTAAGTAAAAAAAAAAAACTATTTTTTTCACTTACAGTAAGTGTATTCTCCTATCCACTGAAGTCTGGATTTTACTTATGCACTTTGGCCAGAGAAATAATGAAATACAGGTGTGTCATATGTAAACAGGCCGTACATTCATTCTGTCACCATTTAATTGCATTTTTCACTTCGGGCACTGGAGTGCTGTATTGTCATGCGCCTCTACATGGTCAAATGCAATACTGAGGTATTCAGAAAGCAGAACGTTACAGAACAAAACTTTTTATAATTATTACACATTTAAAGACTGCAAAAGTTGATTTTTGTTCAGATGTGGCATGTACAGGGGTTAGTCCGTGAAACTGGCCAAAATAGTATTTGTGGTTTACGCCACTATGTGTGCAGCCTGGTGGCTAATTGTAATCTACACTGATTGCAGATACCACCAGTAAGTGCAGAGTGTGAATATTACATTATTACATTAATATTTGCAAGGGTTAGGGGTGGATGATGCTTGCAATTGTGAAAATTCGCAAAAAATACTTGGGCTCCCCTAACCTGCTAGCAAGAACGATCACATAAAAGTCTATTTATTGCCAATTTCTAATTAAACAATACTATACTATATATTGTCATTTTCTACCAAAACCTTTTTATATAGTATACATTTCTCCGATCTTTCAGCAAGTATGTCATAAAAAGAATTGATCTTTAGAAGATAAAATAAATACAGAAAAAATAAAAAATAAATAAATGCTTTTCCCTATTGCTTTTCTTCTTGCTATTATAATGATTAACATTTTTCATTGATATTATACTGTCTACCATGGGAGTTTCTGGCAGCCCATAGTAACCCTTGGTAGATTTTTATGAAATTTGGCACATTGATAGAGGATAGGCCATAGTATCCAGGTTTCAAATTTGGGGTTAATCCATCCCTGTAGCGCCATCTTCAGGCCAAATTTGCTTATAACTTTCAAACCCGTTTGTGTTTGAAAGTTATAAGTTGTGTTTCTTTTTCTACTTGGATCTTATGGGTGCTATATTTCAGTACACAGAACACCTACAATCCACATAAAGGAACAATATACAATTGTATGTGGTTTATATTTGAATGGTGACTGCTTATAAACATAGGGGAGAAGTGAAATGCCGATCATGCAGGTCATGATGTGTTGGTTGGGATGGATGGGAATCATGGTACGTAAAAACTGTACATACTAGAGCTTAAAGCAGGCAATTTTGTGTCAATATATAACATTTGTAAGTTTCCACTAAGTTCATAATGTAATAACTTGCACATAATGTAGTAACATATTACATTATATGAAATAAGTTAATACATTATGCATTTATCATTTTTATTACATTATTGGCAGGTTATTACATATTGAGTTTTTACTACATTATTAAATTATGTGCAGTTACAATTTGTGCAGTTATTACATTGTGATGTTTAACACTGATGAAGTTTCAACCTTTGAACCCCTCAGTCACTGCTTGCAGTTATCATCATTCTTCTTCTGTTATTATTATTATTATTTATTATTATTCTGTATTGAAACGGTATGAGCAGCAGAGACCTGTAAGGTGTAGAAACACCAAATTTAGTGGATATTTAGTTCAGTTCAGTCCATGCTACTAATAATACTAATATTTGCTCCATATCTATTGGCTTGTTTACAGAATTCTTCTTAATGAAGAGGGGGAAAAAGCTGAAGTATATGAATTAATGTTTAAACACAATATAGGTCATTCTCATGAAGTCATTACCATAACATATCAGTTTTCTATAATTTTAAAATTATTCTGACAGCAGGCTCACATTATATTATTGTCTAAAATGTCGATTTTGCCTTTGATAGTAATACATTGTGAAGTAAAACAATTGGCAGTACAAAACAATTGAAGAAAGGATCATACATCTTATACTAATTGTCTATTATGCGTTTGAAAAAACTGAAAGTTTAAAATAATTTTATCTAGTTTTGTGTTATTTGATTTTGAAACTGCATCAGTAGTGCCTATTTGGGGAAAATGGTTGAGGGATCATTAAATCAGAGCTATACATAAAATTTTATCGTACCCAAATAAGTTAAGGTAATGTCATTTGCCCTGTGCAAGATTCAATCACTGTATTTCACTGTAATATTTCATTTTTGTTAAAGGATTCTCATGTTCGTGAGTGACCAAATATAAGCATAGTAGGTTACCGCCGTGCTTTCATTTATTTTCAAAATAAGATTTCTGGGTATTTCAGTTAGGTTCACAAAATATAAATGGAATGGCCCATTTTCCATGTTTTACTTGTTGCCATAATTGTTGGGGGTGAAACCTCCTTCTTGCTTGAATTAATTATATTTGTTGCATGGCCACGCCTTTGGATTAATGTTAATGGTGGACATGAACCTGCTAATGAGGGGAGAATATACTTAACTCAAAAGCACGTAACTTTTAAAGTGCTTTTTTTGACTTAAGTGCCTGATGGGACTCCTAGGTGCATGTGCTGCAAAAGTAATGGTCACCTTTCTACTTTAGTTGGGCTTCTGTAGTGATGGAGCAAATCAGTGACATAGGAAGGGACCAGCCTGTTTAATGCTTTACAAACAATTTAGCAGAATTTTAAACTGGATCCTGTATTGGAGTGCAAACCAGTGTAAGACAGTGCCTCTTTTGTCCTGGCCAAACCCTTGCTGCAGCATTCTAAAATAACTGCAGGCATGACACGGATGACTTACTGACTCCTGTGTAAAGAGAATTACTGTAATTTTAATAGGATGAGATCAGAACATGGATGACTTTCATCAGGCCCTGTAGGAAATAGAAATGATTTAAAATATTTCTGAGATGATAGATTTTACTACAGGATTGATGTGCTGATCAAATCTAAGATTGCTTACACCAAGATCAGTGGCATGCCATTTTGCATAGGGGGAGAGTTGACCCAGGCTCCGAGAAACGGAATCAATGCAATTTGATGGTCAGAATAAAATAATTTCTGTCGTATTCTCATTTAGTAGAAGAACATTTTGAGCCATTCAGACCTTTGTTTTTCAAACAGGCAAATAAGTTCATCATGTAGTGGGCATGGGGTTTTAAGAGTAGGTACATCTGAGCTTCATCAGCATAGCAATGGAAACATGTTAGGGCCCAGAATGGACCGCTGAGGAATTCCAGATGTAATTGGAGGAATGAAAATTTCCAGTATTTACAGGGAAGGTTCACTGGCTACAGATGTAACAGATGGGCAGTGGTGGCTTGATGGTTAGGGTAGCGCACTTGTATTTGAAAGATTGCAGGTTCGAATCCCCCACCAGCAAGTCACCACTGAGGTACCCTGAGCAAGGTACCGTCCCCAAGCACTGCTCCCCGGGCGCTGAATTAGCTGCCCCCTGCTATGTCACGAAAGTCACATATGGGTCAAATGCAGAGGTCACATTTCGTTGTTGTGCACTGTGTGCTATGGTGTGTTGACAATTACCACTGATCACCAAATTCTAATTCTAATTCTAAGAGGTAAACCAGTCTGATACTGTGCCCCAAAGGTCAGTAAATTGCAGTCCCCACAACAATAATAAGTAGGGTGTCATTTAGTATCTTTAATAACACAGCACTTATAGGCAACTATTTTTTGGAATACCAAATCTTATCTTTATAAAGAAAAACAATGTTATTTCATAAGAACATATAAGAAGTTAACCATATCATGATTAAAAAGCGACCACAGGCATTCACATTACAATAGTGTATTAAAAAGATAACATTCCAATAAACAAATGTCTTATTTGGGGGGGGGGGGGGGTGACATAGATGGTCCATATTACAAAATCCAGAATCCTAAAGAGCAGAGAATGTTTTCAGTGCAGCAGATGCACATAGAGAGGGCAAAACAATGTATTGTGGCCAGTGTTTGAGCCATTTTAATAAAAG